TGTACAGTTTCATAAAATAAACCGATACAAAGAACAATGATAGAAAATAGCGTTAAAAATAGAACATTAGCAAGAAACCTGATACTTGTCAGTGACGGATTCGGATGTCGATCTGACAGGGATCGAGGGAGCCATTACGGAAAACTGGAAGATGGCGTACGACTTTATTATCCAAACTGAGGAACGATGCATTACCTCGTAATTTATGAGTTCATGCATAATACTTTACGATTGTCACAACTCAATGTATTAGGTATATTATTTATGAAAATATGACTAGTTAAAAGCCAACAACCTCTGCAAGCTGGCTATCATACTGATCCGAATGACCAGGAAGGAACCGTACAGGCCGGGTGTTGGATTGCCGTTGGCAAACTCATGAAGAGCATAAATCGAGTCTTCAGTGTGCAGAGAGGTAGTGCTGTGACTTGTACTTAAGATATTTTTGAAAAACTAAAGTGAGTGCAATGGAGTCTGAGAAGAGTATCACATTTCCGTCAATAGTTGGTGAAAAAATTGTTCACTATTAATGACAAGACACAGAAGTGTATTTTCACGAATAAAATTGCCTGTGACGAACTCTGATTGGGCATGAATGAGATTATCACAGAAATCGATAGCTCGACGGATCAGTGCCAAAGCGGGTAATAAAAAAATCCCATGCAATTTTTGCAAATTTTGTGCTTTAATCTGGCACTAAATGTGACTTCGCATGCAACGAAATATTCATACATGGGGTGGGCGGAAAGTACTGCTAAAAACCATTTTTGCCAGGCGACGATGAACTTCAGAGCTGTTGACCTTTTTGACGTCGTTGGTGAACGAAAGGATAGTCTGGGTCTTGATTATACTTTCATGAGACGGGTTTTGATGCCCTTCCACTCATTAAATTAATGGTGGGGCGATGATCTACACTTTATGCCACCATATAGGAGTATTTTATTTTAATGACTGGGTCCACAGCAGCAATGTAACAAGCATGGAGTATAATCTTCTACTGAAGAGTGCTCACTTGCCAACCTCGAAAGGAAATTCAACTGTGACCTGAGCAGGGTCTCTGGGTTCTGTGTCTGACATGGCTGAGTAA